CCCGAGCGTGGACCTGCTGGGCGCCGGCGGTCCTTCCGCCTCAGCCTTCCGAGTAGCCAGAACTATGGGCGTGGTCGCCCGGCGAATTTATTTATTTATTGTAGAGACGCGGTCTCCCCAAGTTGCCCAGGTGGGTCTCGAACCTGCAGGCTCAGGCAATCCACTTGCCTTGGCCTCCCAAAGCGCTGGGATTGCAGGCTAAGCCCCTGAGCCTGGCCAATGCTACACTTGTAAAATCTTGGCTCCGCCAGATGGGCTGTGCGCCTGTAGTCCCAGCTACTTAGGAGGCTGAGGCAGGAGGATCACTTGAGCCCAGGAGGTCAAGGCCACGGTGAGCCATGATCGTGCCGCTGCCTGGGCGACAAAGTGATACCGTGACTCAAAAAAATAAAAAAAGTCTTGGCTCAGTCTTTCTCTAAAAGCCCGTGCTGTCCAAGCAGAACATGCTGGCGGGCTGTGCCGGGCCTGGAGGCCACCGTTTGCAACCCTGCATGGGGCACTGTGCCCACCGGCTTCGGGTGGTGGTAGCGCCTCGGTGCCCACTCCAGGTCCCCGGGCCTGCCAGTGTCCCTCCCCACGTGCCTGCTGAGTCCCCAGCTCAGGAGCCAGTCAGGACATCCATGCCCGGGATGCCCCCAACAGAGCTTGAGAGCCAGAACAACACCCAGCCTCCCACCCTGCCCGGGGCCAGCCCAAGGCTCGCTCGCCCCTCGCGGCTCCGCAGACGGGCCCAAGGGCTGAGAGCCAGGGCCCACGGCGGTGCCGGAGTGACCAGCCACATCGCCCTGCGTGCAGGCCTCCTGCCCATCTCTCCGGTGCCCGCTCCAGCTTCCTGGCCCACCGCCCTCACCCTGTCCTGCTCTCAGGCCCTGCTGTCAGAGTCCCCAGACAAAAACTGAGATTTTGGAAGGCAGCAAACAAATGGCAATCCCTCGAGGTGTGACAAGTGCCAGGAAGCAAATAGGTGGCAATTATTGGCAGAGGAGAGCAGGGCCTGGCATCAGAGTGGCCTGACAGGCGACACTGACACTTGCCCTGGGAAGAGGAGGTGTGCTCTCAGGGGCTATGGGGAGGGGCCTGAGGGGAGAGCAGGTGCCAAGGTCCTGCGGCAGAAAGAGCTGGGGTCTCCAGGGCAGGACCAAGGGCTCACAGGATGTAGTGGTGTGGGGGTGGCCGGGTCAGTCAGGTCCCTCACAGAGACAGAGCCGATAGATACAAGGTGTCTACAGATAGACAGACGGAAGGTAGGTAGTTAGACAGGTGTTTAGACAGACAGATGGATGGATGGCTAGATGGATAGATAGATGAATAGACAAGGAAGGTAGACAGGTGAGTAGACAGACGGACAGATGGATGGATGGATGGATAGACAGATGGTAGATGGATAGAAGTATGGATAGAGGGGAGGCAGGTAGACAGGTGGGTAGACGGATGGATGGATGGATGGATAGATGATAGATGGATAGATGGAGGGTAGGCAGGTAGACAGGTGGATAGACAGACGGACAGATGGATGGATGGATGGATGAATAGACAGATGGTAGATAGATGGGTAGACAGACAGATGGAGAAACGGATGAATGGATAGACAGGGTAGTAGGTAGATGGGAGGGTAGACAGACTGATGACTGAATGGACGGATGGATGGATGGATGGATGGATGGATGGAGAGACAGATGGTAGATGGTGGATGGATGGGGTAGACAGGTAGATAGGTGGGCAGACGGATGGGTGGATGGATGGATAGACAGGATAGGTAGGTAGATGGGTGGGTAGACAGACAGGCAGATGGATGGATGGGTAGATGGGATAGAGGGATGAATAGATGGGTGGATGGACAGGGTGTAGATAGGTAGATAGGTGGGCAGACGGATGGATGGATGGATGGATGGATAGACAGAGGGTAGGTAGATAGGTGGGCAGACAGACGGACAGGTGGATGGATGGATAGACATGGTAGATAGATGGACAGACAGACAGATGGATAGATAAATGGATAAATGGGTGGATAGATGGATAGATGGATGAATAGACAAAGAGAGGTAGGTAAGTATATAGGTGGGTAGATAGGTGGACGGATAGATGGATGACAGACAGATGGCAGGCAGATAGGTAGGTGGATAGACAGATGAATGGTAGTAGACAGATGGACGGACAGACAGATGGTAGATGGTAGACAGAAAAATGGATAGATAGATGGATGGTAGAAAGATGGGGGGATGGATAGATGGTAGGTAGGTAGGTGGATAGAAAGACTGATGAACTGTAGTAGACAGGTGGACAGACAGACAGATGGCAGATGGATAGACTGATGGTTGCTAGACGGACAGACAGATAGATGGCTGGATAGATGGTAGGTAGATAGGTGGTAGATAGGTAGACAGATGGATAGATGGACAGATGGATTGATAGTAGGTAGATAGGCGAGTAGGCTGATAGATGGATAGATAGATGTACACACAGATAGATGAATGGATGGTAGATAGGTGAATAGACAGACGGATGGATAGGGAGATAGATGGTAGATGGACAGATGGATACATAGATGGAGATAGATGGACAGACAGACTGATGCTTTGTAGATGGATAGATGGTAGATAGATAGTAGAAAGATGGATAGTAGGTAGATAGATGATAGATAGAGGGTAGACAGATTGTAGAAACATAGATGGATGGTAGATAGATTGTAGGCAGATGACAGACGGTAGACTGAAGAAGACGCCACATTTACAGATGTCGCTGGACTCACGGTGGAGCTGCGTCTTGAAAAAGTCTCATTAGTCATATTATAGGCTGATAATGCATTTAATAGCCCAACAGACTCACCGTAAAATCGTAAGTTGGACCACTCCAGGCGGGACCGTCTGTACTGTGGGAAGAGGCGCACGCAATTATGGAGGCTGAGAAGCCCCATGACAGCCGTCTGCACACTGGAGCCCCAGGAAAGCAGCTGGTGTGGTTCAGTCCCTCCGAATTCCTGAGCCCCAGGAAGCTGACGTCCAGGGCAGGAGATGGGTGTCCTGCACCAAGCAGGTGAGTCCACCCTTCCTCCTCCTCACTTTACTCAGGTCCTCAGTGGCGGATAATGCCACCCCCACTGGGCAGGGTGGTCTCTACGCCGTATACTGAGTCAAATGCTCATCTCTTCCAGAGGCACCCTCATGGTTGCACCCAGGCATAAAGTCTTACCAGCTATCTGGGCACCCCATAGCCCAGTGAAGTTGACAGATCAACTTGAGGACCAGAACTCTTGAGGACCAGCTGGAGCCTTGAAAATATGCTAGGGCTCGGCCACACCCCTCGAGTGCTGGCTCCATGTGTCTGAGAGGGCTGGGCAGTAGGTATCTTCTGCAGCCCCTGTGGTTCTGGCTGGGCTGCCAGTGAAGCCCCCTGACCCAGGTCCCAGGTCTGCCTCTACGTCTTCCACGTGAACAAGGATTGTGCCAGGAACTTCCCATTTTAGAGATGAGGAAACCGAGTCTGGTGAGCTTTCAACATGTGCTCAAGGCCACAGGGACGGGGGCACTGAAGCAGGACTTGAACCCGCCCATGGTGCCAAAGCCCACAGGGCCACTGGCTCCGCCCTGCTGAGGTCTCCCTGGATGCCGAGGTGCCCCGTCAGCTCAGCCTCAGCTCAGGCTGGGGACACAAAATCTCTGATGGTGACAAAGGAACACCCTTAAGCAACCCTGCCCTTGTCCACCTGACCTTGGCAAATTCCTGGGCGATCGTGGACTGGCCTCTGTAAGACCCGGCAGACACTGGAGTGGATATAAGCAGGGTAGGGCTGCGGCCAGGGCCCAGGGCATGGACACATGGACAGAATTCAGGCTCTGGGGGTTTGGGGTCTGACCCAAGAGAGACTCCATCCATCCCTCCAACACACACGCATGGAGCCCACGTGCCTACGCTGTGTCCGGGGACTGGGTCAAACTGTCACTGCCTGTGGGCGAGTCTTCTGGAGAAAGACGACTGGAAAAATACTCACAGTTCACAGCACACCATGACCTGTGTGTGCCATGGCGGCATGTCCGATCTGGTGTTCCAGGGCTGACTTTGAGGGGAACAGAGACGCAGACTTAAGCAACCCGGTCCCAGGGCGAGCCTGTCCTGTCCTTCCACTGCTATTCCGATCTTATCAAAGAGAAAGTTTTGGTTAGTTGCTAACAGGGCCCCTCCTTTTTATTTTGAGTCAGGGTCTCACTCTGTCACCCAGGCTGGAGTGCAGTGGCGTGCTCACAGCCACTGTAGCCTCAACCTCCTGGGCGCAGAAGAGCCTGCTGCCTCAGCCGCCAGAGTGGCTGGGACTACAGGTGTGTGCACCCCCACGCCCAGCTAATTTTTCGATTTATTTGCAGAGACGAGATCTTGCTCTGCTGCCCAGGCTGGTTCTGAACTCCTGGGCTCAGGCGATCCTGTCCCCTTGGCCTCCCAAAGTGCTGGGATTATAGGCATGAGCCACTGCACTCAGCCAGGCCTCTCCTTTTAACAGGGCGAAGCTAGGCCCAGAGCAGAGGACTTGGCTACCATGCAGCCATCTGGATTTGCTAGTGTTATGTTTGTTTCCATATCTTTAATTTCTGACAAGTGTAATGGGTTGAATGGTGGCCCCCCTAAAAAGATGCGCCCATGTCCCATACCCTGTACCCAGGAGTAAATAGGGTCTTTGCAGATGTGACGAAACTAAGGATCTTGAGATCAGATTACCCTCGTTCAGGGCAGGCCCTAAGTCCTAGAAGAGGAGGGCGTCGCAGAGGCGCAGGAGGGCCGTGTAAGACGGGGCAGAGACTGAGGCATCTGCAGGGAAGACGTCAGAGCTGCCAGAGCCACCAGTGCCATGAGAGCCCCAGAGGGCCCAGGAGGGCCCCGTGACCGCTCGACGGTGGACTTGTGTGAGCGGCCATTGTCTTCAGCCGCCATTTGTGACCATTTGCTCTGACAGTCCTAGGAGGTGTACACAGCAAGTGGGACTGCTTTCCTGTTTCCAGTGCAGCCATCCTTTAAAGGGCAGGTGGAGTCCAGGGCGCGAATGTGGAGGAGTCGAGCGTGTGGGTTTGAGCAGGCACGTGCTGTTCTCGGAAGAAGTCAGGCTGCGCCAGGCACGGGTGGCGTCGGGGTTGTGGCGGGGGACGGCCAGGGCGGACTGGGCTTCGGTCTTGAGGGGGGCGGCTGCTGCAGGGGCAGACGTGCTCGCACTGGCTGCCGGGGCACCCTTGTGTGAGTTCCCGGGAAGCCCCACTGTGCCGGATTGGTGATTCAGACGGACCTGCCTTTGGAGAGCCATGCTTCAGAGGCCAAGGGCTTTTTTCCCACCGCCTGAAGTGCCATGGAGCATCCGGACAGAGCGGGAAGGGGGTTTCCAGCAGGTGGCTGGCTGGGAACCGGTCTTCCCCTCCAGGGCCAGACACGAGGTCACTCCCAGGCAGGGCTGCCACCTGCCCAGGCCGGACTCTCCCTGGGACATGTGGGGCCCGCTGGGCACACCAGACCCCCCAGACCGGGCCTTGTGGGCCCCCAGTGGGACGCTGCCTGGGCTCCAGGGAAACATGGTCCGCAACTGTCCACGGCGCCCACTTCCAGCCGTGGAGTGGGGGCGCAGAGCCACGCTCCGGGAGAACTGGAGGCGTGGCTCTGGGCCTCTGAGCAAGCCACAGGCGCTCCTGGGTTTGAACCTGGGCTACAGTCAGGCACAGTGGCTCGTGCCTATAATCCCAGCGCTTTGGGAGGGCGAGCAAGAGGATTGCTTAAACCCAGGAGTTCGAGACCAGCCTGGGCAACATAGCGAGAACTTGTGCTGCAAAACTTAAAAAATAAAAAAACTAGCCGGGCATGGTGGTGCATGCCTGTAGTTCCTCAGGAAGGCCCGCCTGAGCCCAGGAGTCGGAGGCTGCAGTAGCCGTGATGGGGCCACTGTACTCCAGCCTGGGAATGAGACCCAGACTTAAAAAAAGAAAAAGAAAAAAGAACCTGGGGTGGTTGTGGGGGTGTAGGGAGCTGTCACTGAGCAGGTTTCGGGTCAAGACGCCCCTGGGTCCTTCCCCGGTCCAAGCTTGGCCTGTGCTCCTCCCACCAGCCTGGCCACCTTTGGAGGTGTCTACTGTTTGCTCTGAGGCAGGCAGTAAACCTGGGTGCCTGGGCACCTGGCTGAGGCCTGGCTCCAAACCCTGCCTCCCAGAGGATGGGCTCTTCTCCAGGAGCCGGGAGGGCAGGGGAGGAGAGCCACAGTCCCCTCAGGAGGTCCCACGGGCCAGCTCTGGGCATGGTTCTGGATTCAGGTGAGTGTTCTGGATGATTCTGCCCTCTTTCACATCTGCAGCCTGTGCCCTGCCTCCCTCCTGCCAGCAGCCCGGGGACCGGGGACCAGTGGTCAGGGCTTCCAGACCCACACAGGGCAGGACAGAGCACAGGCATCACTCGGGGTCCTCGGGAGGGCGGCTGGCCTCCCGGGCCTCAGTGTCCCCGTCTGTGGAGGGGAGGCTGTGCTGCACGAGAGCCCTCCCGCCCCTCCCTGCTGTCTCGCTGCCCCCAGGCCTGGCCCTGGGCTCAGAGACCGGGCCCGAGGGGCATGGCTGAGCCCAGCCGCGGCTGTCCCTGGCCTTGCCCGCTGAGGCCACCTCCCACCTTCTCCGGGGCATCCTTGCAGCAGGTTCCTTTTTGTACTGAGGTTGCTGAGATGCGTGGTTGCCACAGGCCCATGAGCCAGGCTGCTGTGCAGGTGAGGGGGCACAGGCGGGGACCTGGTCCAGCTTCCGACCAGTGGACACGACCTTCCATGACCGCCGCAGTGCAGAGTGGGGTCCGAGCCTGCCCACGGGACCCCAGAGCCTCTGCAGGCCTGGGCTCATGGTCAGACTTCCCAGGAACAGGCCGAGAAAAACCTGGCAGGTGGAGAAGGCGCCCTGCTGGCTGCCAGGATGTGCCCTGCCCTCTGGGCGTCCTACGGTGGGCATCGTCTTGGCCCTTAGCATGAGGGGCGCCCTGTGTATTCTCTCCACTCAGATTTGCTCTTGCCACTCAGAAGTTCCCAGTCGTGCCTGGGCGGGGTTTAAGATGGAGCCTCAGATGGTTGAGAAACTGTGGCCCCGTTTCCAGGGCCTCCGGGCTCACGCTGTTGCATATCAGTGCTTTGGGGTGGTGCCCGCCCGGCCCGTGACCCCATGAGTCCCGGTTGGGAGCCCTCCTGCTTCCCTTGCGGCAACACAGCCACTCCCCGTGCCCGCCCCGCTCCACGGAGGCAGAGCCAAGGCTTGGATGGGGCCACGAGCCGATGGGCAAGGATGCGGTCCGGGCCAGGCGCTGTGCCAGGAGTGATCCCGGGTTGGGGGGGGGAGGAGTTGGGGAGTACCCCCAGCAGCTGCCACAGGACGCGGGCCCATCTGCAAACCCTCTCCTCTGCCCACCCACCACCTCCTGCCGCAGCCCTAGCAGCAGCAAGCCACACTCTCGGTCACTTTTCTCTTTTATTGCCAAGTTTGAATTTACAGGGAAGCTCCGGTTTTCGTTCCAGCCTCACGCTCAGTACCCGCAAAGCGTGAGTCACACTGGCCAAGCCGGTACTTCCCTAGAACAGTCCTGCGGCTCAGAGCCTGAGCTTTCCCACGCCCTGCTCCCCTGGACACGTGTCTCCAGCTCGAGGGCACACAGGGAGCTCATCGTGTACCCACAGCTGGGTTAGAGTCCGCACTTATTGCGTCTGGACAAGAAGGATGCATGGGGCGCCCAACCTTTTTAAAGCAGTGTCCCTCGGAGGCCCAGGAGAAGCCCGTGTCCCGCAGGTGCCCCGCAGGTGGCTTGCCTGGGAGCCAGCTTGCACAGGTGCCAGGGCGCGGGAGGTGGCAGAGAGGGGTGTGCTTGGAGGCCTCTCCTGCTAAACCCTCGCCATGGCCTCGAGGCAGCCCTTCTTGCCTGGGGGTGTCTCACTGGCCTCATCTAACCTGTGGGGACAGGTGCCTCCCACACCACTGAGGAACGTGCTGTCTCCCGTCTCCACGGCAACCGCCGGGACTGAGGTCTGGGGGTTCCTGTGGCCAGCCCTGCCCCCTGGCTCGGCAAGCCCATGGCCCAGCGGCAGACGTGGGAGGGTGGCCTAGGGCCATACGTGCTACCTGCAGGGACTTGCAGGGGCGGCTCGATGGGTCTGCAGAGGAGATCAGGCCATGGCCCCGGTCTAGCTCTTGCTGCCCAATGCCAGGCTTGTGGGATGCTCCTGCAGACGCAGTGGTGCTCCCTGCCACCAAGAATCCTTGGACTGGGTGAGGGCCCCCCCAGATCCAGGAATGACTCTGCAAGCCTCCTCCCCACCTGGGCACCCCTGGTTAAAGGCAATTCTCACCCCATACCTGAGGCGTCCCGAGGCAAGCTGCTGGCCCCAGCTGCAGAAGGTGCCCGGGAATGGCCCTGCAAGCCCAGGAGGGGGACAGGCCATCCTTGGCCGGGCACGGGTGGGAGCCTGCCATCCTCCGGCTGGCCCTCCCAGGCGTGTTGTCCACCCCTGCCCTCACCCTCTCCTCCGGCCCTCCCGCCGGGCGTTGACGGAGCTGCTGGCTGTTCCTCTGGGTCATGCCACGGGAAGGGCAGTCACTCATCTTCTCTCGTTTCTACTGCCCCAGAGACAGTCATTTCAAAAGCAGAAGGGTGTGGCCTGGGCCAGCTGGCTCAGGATAAGCTTCCTCGGCCCTGAAGACCAAGTGGAACATGGCAGGGCACCGTTTCCTGGTGTGTGGTCCCTCCCCCCACTGGCTCCTGCACCTTCTGTCCTTCCCAGGGGGAGCTCTGTGGGTGGTCATGACAGTCATGGCTGGTCCTTCCTTGGGATTTCTGCCTGCGTGGCCCCCTTTCTGAGCTGAGTCTTTTTGCGGTTGAATCAAAGGTCCTAGCGCCTGAAGCCGTGAAACCTGGGTGGCCACACCAACCAGCAGGACCTGTCCCCCGGGCACCATTTCCTTCTCGTGGGAATACCATTTCCTCAGGAGTTTGAAGCCCCTCGGCAGTCCCTGCTGGGACGGCGCCTTGGGAGAGGCGACAAGGACTGTGTTCCTCCAACAGGTGGAGGGAGAGGTCTCGGGGTGTCTCCCGAGCCACGCTGTTGGCCAGGCTTTGGGGGACGCCAGCACCCTGGGCCGAGTGCTCCTGGTGGGCATACCTGAGGCAGGTCTGAGGGAGGGCTGCTGAAGGTCTCACCACCGAGCAGAGGTGAGGAGCTGCTGGACTGTCCAGCTGCCAAACAGGCCAGGTCAGGAGTCATGTCTTGGGGCTGACAGGCATATCCGTCCTGGCCCAGACACACCTGCTGAAACCGAGGAGGAAACTGTGGGGTTTGTACTTTAAAAGCAGCAGGAAAGGGACCGACTCAGAGCTCTCAGGACACCAGGCGGGGTGGAAGCTGGCTCTGGGCTGTCCCTTGGGGCACACACAGCAGAGGCAGGAGACGCTGAGGCGCTTCTTTGATGTCCATCATGGCCATCGGGCTCTGGAGTCTTCCTGGTCCCAAGTGGCTCTTTCTCAGACAGAGGCGGCAGCATTGAAGGTGCTGGGTTGTGGCGCAGAGGCGAGGGCTGCGACCCACGTGGGGAGCGACTGCATCCCCCCATTTCGTGGGAGAGCTCCTCCAGGTGCGTGCACCTGAGATACATGGATCTTCCTTGTTTTTGCTTAAAAATTCATCTAAACTTTCTGGGAAGGTCATTTATCATTCCACAGGCAGCAGAGTTAGTAACAAAGAACTAAGAGTCACTTAAAAAAACGAAGAGACCACACCGAGACTCGGACACAAAACACCGGAAGGTCAAGGGAAAGCGGAAAGGAAATCCTAACATCATCACTACAGTTCTAACAGGACACCCAACCTCAGGGCTGATGTTTTTGGACTGTTTTAAATAGAAGCTTTTAAAACAAATGCGTTTCATCTGCTGCCAAAGCTGAAATAAGTACCCTGGGAGATGTTTGCCTAAGTCCATGTTTCTACCAATTTCTACCCAAAGTGACCTGGTTCAGTTCTTCGATGCACGCCGGGAGGGGGCAGGGTGTCAGAGGAAGAGGACAGTGCAGTGGGCCCCGCCACCCAGTTTGGGGACAGGCGCCCACGCCCCTCCCTGCAACGGCCACTGCTGTTGCCTGAGCTCACCGGGGGGCCCCACCGGTCCAGCCTGCTCCCGGGAAGGCGCAAGGAAGATGGACCCAGACGCGTGGTCTCTTTCTGATTAAAGGGGTGCAAGGACAGGTGGCTGTGAGGGCCGCAGAGAGCTGGGGTGCCCCCACTGTCTGCCCGACAGCTGCGCTGGGGTCCCTGCTGGCGGCCGCGCGCACGAGGGGAGGCCACGCTGACTCAGGGCTCGGTGGGACCCACAGCCTCCGCACACCAGGCTTCTTCGCCTAGGGGCTCCGTGCACGTGGCGGCTGGCGTGGGGATGCCGGTGAGGCTGCGGAGGCTGTGGGGGTCGACGGGGGGGACGAGGGTCAGCGACTCGACGCTCAGCGTGTCAGCCGTGTCCTCACAGAGCAGCGAGAGGGTGGGCTGCTGGGCAGGGACCAGGCTGGGGGACAGGCTGGCCGTCTCTGTGGCTGCGCTCCTGGTCGTGCTCCTGCTGGGCTTGGCATCCGTGTCTGTGTCATGGACCATCGCCAGCTGGTCAGGAAGGCGAGGCTGAGGTTGCTCCGGAGTCATGGGGGCATCTGGTGGGGGGAGACAGAGCCGCTGAGACCCCAAGCCCCCTGCTCGCCATGCCCGTTCCCGTCCTGAAGCAGCCCCGGGGAAGCTGGAGGAGGCGGCTTCTGGGGTGGAGTCCAGCGTGGCTCCACTCCCCAGGGCTCACGCCGGCCTGCTGTAGGCCTGGGGAAGCGTCAGGGCCCAGGGTCACCCTGGCTTGTGACACGAGGGAAGAATCTGGGGCCTGAGCAGAAGTGACACGTGGCTTATGGCGGCACAGCCTCTGGGTACAGAAACCTGGCTCAGACAGGCCTTAAGTGTGGGTGGCTCTTGGTGACAAACTTGCCTAGGCAGTGGGTTCGACTGTGCTGATAACCTCAGGCCACTCCTAGAGTCTCCGTTTGGGGACAATGACCCAAGAGGGAACCCACTGCAATATTTCATAAAAAGGAGCTTCTGTAGAACTTTGCAGCCCTTGAAACCAAAACCTTAGACAGTGCCTGCCTCTTCCTCCTCCTCTGAGTCATGGGGGCCGTGATGGCCCGGGCCATGGCTGTCCTGCACCTCCCTACAGGGCCATGGAGAGAAACTACACTGGGGCTGGCAGCGAGGTTCCACCTGCTGTAGGTGTTTTTGGAGTGACAATGTCTTTCCTGACCGGACGCAATGCATTTTGGAGTGGCAATGTCTTCCCTTGGTGCTTTACAAATCCCACAGACAGATGATGGCCATTTGCTTTCCAGTGACCAGTTTGCCTGGAGAGAAACACCAGAAATGACTGGAGTTTATGGTGGAAAACACCTTCCAGGACTCCAGTGCTGGTCGTTTTAACACTGGTAAGAAGGGAAGGGCCAGCCCGCTTAGAAAGCAACGTTTTTTTCCTTCTTTCTTTTTTTTCCCCCTTTTTGTAGAGATGGGGCTCTCACTATATTGGCCAGGCTGGTCTCAAACTCTTGACCTCAAGTGATCTTCCCACCTCAGCCTTCCAAAGCACTGGGATTACAGGCATGAGCCACAGTGCTTGGCTTGGAAAGTGAATTCTGATTTGCACAGATCTGGGGTCCATGAGCCGTTGGCAAAAGGCGCTGCCTGCGCTGTGGTGAGCTGTGAGCTTGCGAGTACTCTGGGCCCTGGGAATGATGGTGGATATTTTTTGTTCAATGTGACTCCAGATAGGTGAGTTATTTCTTTTTCTTTTTTAAGCTAGGTCAAAATAAAACAGAACAGCAAACTGAACATAGAGCAAAATAATGGAAAAACAAAGTGCAAAATAAAAGCCAACAGCATATGAAAAGGGATGATGGGGAGGGGCATCCGCATGGAGAGAGCGAGGCCACACTGGTCCACCTCGGCGTTTCCTCCCACAAGACTCTGAGCAAATGAGCTCTAAAAAAGGCCCCAGGAAGGTCTCCCATAGGCCTTTTTGGAAAAAAACGAAAGACAGAGAGAGAGAGAGAGAATCCAGTGGAAACCCCTGCACGGGGCCTGCCCTCACTCTGGGAGGTGAGTGGGCGCCCATGAGAACTTAAGGAAAAGTGACGCGACATGTGATCGGAGCTCCAGATGCCGAGTGAACACCACACGTGAATTTGGCTTTCTCTGAACTTCAACTGATTTGCTCCGCTCCCTGAGGCTACCTCGCAGGCTCAGGTCCTGACCTGGCACGACCCACTCGTGGACCCACAAGCTGCAGCTTGAGCGTTCAGTGGTCTCCATACCACTTGGCACAGGTGTGAGCGCACCCAGAGCATCCACAGGAAACTCAGCAGTGTGTGGGACGCCTAGGGATACGAACCCCCAGGGCATGGTCCTGCCATCTGGAGACAGGGCAGCAGATACTTCCTTCACGTTTCTCTGCATTTCCCTGCTCAAGTCTGTATTTGCATGTGGACATTCAAAAAAGCTAGCAAGCTGCTTTCCTGTTTCCTAATGGGGCTTTTGGTGAGGAAATAATCACGGATGTGGAGAAGCCATAGTCAAATATATTAAAAAGAGCAAACTGACAGTCAGCAGCACACGTGCAGGATGGCTGCATCATTAGGAAGAGACCAACACTTTTACTAAAAGGGTGGGCTTTTCTCTTAAAAACAGCCTTTTTTTTCAATAGGAAAACAGTAGCCTCCTCTTACCCATTACCTACAACACAGTTTTGCTATTGTTCAACTCTGCTGGGTTGTCACGGTGGACAGAAGACCCCAAGAGGATGCGTTCTCTGGTCAAGCACAAACTGCAAATGTCCCTGGGAGCCCTCAGCCTCCCTAGCCTGCTGGGGCTCCTGTGCTCTCTGGGCTGGGAAGGCAGGGCTGGGTGATGTGGGGAAGAAACGGCAGAACCACACAGCAGCAGGCAGAGCAGAGACAGGAAGGGAAGGAGGGAGGGGAGCGCTCAGAGATAGGAAGGGAAGGAGCTAGGGGAGAGAGCTCGGAGGTGGGAGAGGGGAGAGTGCAGAGATTGGAAGGGAAGGAGGGAGGGGGAGCGCTCAGAGACAGCTTCTAACACAAAAGAAGGCAACAGGCTCCCACTGAGAAGGGGGACTCAGGGGGGCAAGAGTCCACAGAGGCCAGCCTTGGGGTGGGAGGCAGTGGAAGCCCAATGTGCCAGGTGCGGCCCACAGACCTGCCAGCAGCCACGTGAGCGTGCCATGTGAAAGGAGCCAGGACCACATCCTCCCGTGGCCTGTGATGAAGATGGCTCTTGGGCTCTGTCTGGAACATGACTGAGTTTACCACGTAGCTTTGAGCAAGGCCAGGGGACACAGACAGGAAGCTAGGTGACTCCTGGGCCGCTTTTTACAGCTCGCCAGCCAATTGCCGCCCAACCCCATGGCCTCAACTGGGGGAGGCCACATTTCCAGCTGCACAAGTCTGGCTTGCAAGAACCGACTTGAGCCTGGAGGGCGGGGGAATCTGGTCTTCAGCGGAAGTGAGGCTGGAAAGGGAGTGGGAAAAGCCGCCGTTGGGGGAAACAGGAAATGCCAGCACGGGGCATGATGCTCTGCCCTAGGGCCGGCTTGGCCCTCCTGGTTGCCAGGCCCTGCCAACCGTGGGAACGTGGCGTGGCGGGTGGTCGCAGCCCGTGCGGCCGAGGGGAAACCTGCCTGCAGTGGCCGTGTGAGGTGCGGTGGCAGCCGCCGTTCGGAGACTAAACCCAGTGGCCCCCGTGGCTGTCGGCCTCCGACAGGCTGAACACGCGCCGGCGTCCTTTCCTGCCACTCCTGACTGAGGGAAACACAGCGACAGATCATAGAAAGCCTGGAACAACGGGGCAGCAAAGGCGACGTGGGGGACACAGAGCGGCAGCGGACGCTGAGCACGGACGAGAGGTGAGGTGCACCTGCCCCCGGGACCAAGCAGGATCAGGGTGTCTGAGATCCAAGCCATCCACAGGTGCCACTTAGTCAGGCTAAGGACAGAGAAGGTTCGGTCCTGCTGGAAAGACACGGAGTCATGAGCGGCCTCTGGTCTCGGTCAGAAACCTCAGGGGACAGAGGGATAAAGTCGCATGTTGGCGTCAGAGGTCGACAGGGACCCCCGGTGGTGACGCTGCAGGATGTGTTGCATGCCAGGCCAGCGGCACAGCCCCTGGGTTCTCCACGAGCCCTGCCCTTGGCTCTGAGGCTGCCTCTGCAGGCAGTGGCCTGGCGAACACTCAGACTGAGCCACAGAGGGAGGTGCTGAGACCGGGCGCCATGTGGCTGGGGTGGATCTGATGGGCTGAAACAGAAACGTTAGGGGCATCTCGCTGCGGAGGAAGGAACCGCAGGCTCAGAGACAAACTTGGGCCTCAGCAAAGTTGGAAGGTGATGCCACGGAGCACAGCACTGTGATGGCATTTGTAAATGCCACTGGAGGGCACGCTGAAGCACGGCTACGTGGAGTTGTCATAAAAAGTGACAAAATGTCCCCTCCATGGAGAAAGCTGGGGAGAAAAGAGGACACCTCTCCTCGGGCTCCTGTCCTCACAAGTTCCACGGGACTGTGGTGGCTGAGTGCAGTGACAAGAGGGAGGGTCTTGGGGGCCCATTCACACACGGGCACGGGAGCAGGTGGGGATGGGAGGGAGGGTGGAGGCCCCGCACGAGACCACCGGCGGCCAGGCCCTCCTTTCTTTCTGTAAAGCCAGGGACAGCCACCGGCGCCACGGCTCTGAAGCCGCATGGCCCTCAGGCAGCCGCCGGAGAGGGCAGGCTGATGTCTTCACAACTCACTCAGGACATGTGTGGAAGCCTACCAATCCAGAGGGCAGAGGCCCAGGTGTGTTTGAGGAACACGGTGGTGTAGGTCACAGAGCACTTATCAGAACTCCACTCAGGGCATTTGGGTGTGTGTGTGTGTGTGTGTGTGTGTGTGTGTGTGTGTGTGTGTGTGTGTGTGTGGTGTGACTGTGTGAGCCATGTGCATCTCATGGAAGTGTGACTGAGTTGTGTCTTGTGTGTGTGTGACTGAGTGTAGTTAGTGTGTGACTACATGTGTACACTTGCATGCGTGACGGTGTGAGCACACGACTGTGTGGGTGTGAGCGTGTGCCTCTGCATGTGTGTTTGTCCTTGTGGGTACAGAGGAGGACCCTGAAGACATTTCTGAAGTATTCCTGCTGGTCCCACATTGGGTTCCAACACTGGGTCTATTTTTCCTTTCCTGCCATATGTTCTTGGCAATTTCAGTTTCTTAAAACCATAAACTGTTGGAGGGGAGAAGATGCCAGCTCCAACCCTTACTAGGACAGGTTGAGGCCTACTGGCTAGCCATGCTGACCGTGTGGGCGGCAGGACTCCTGACCCTGGACACTTCCACAGGGCAGCGTGTTTGCTGTCTTCCACAGAGGCCCGGAGAGTCTCACAGTCCCTCTCTTGAGGACACAGGCAACAGACGCACTGTAGCATTGAGTGCAGGAACTTGCTGTGATGTCTCCTGGCACAGCTCCACTCGGTGAGCAGTGGACAGTGCGGAGAAAGCCCCTTGGTCCAGCGTTTCTGGCTGCTTCCCCTGGTCATCAGGGAGTTCAGTCTGGGCCTTGTGTGAGAGCCACTCAAGGGCACCCACAGCTCTGCCCTGGCATGCGAAGGAGACCCAGAAGCAGGCACTGCTGGCACAGAGAGGCCTCCGGAGGCCAGCATACCAGCAACCTCTCAGCATGTGTGACCCCCCAGGGTGTGTGACCCTTCCTCTCTGGCTGAGTCCTCACCTGGGCTGAGCCTGCAGGTACTGGCCAGATGCTAGTCCCTCGGCCTGAAGCCACCACCGGGTATGGGGACTCTTTCCCAAAGGCAGCCCCACCCCCATTATTCCAAAAGGCAGAATGACAGGGAGATCCCAGGGGAAGGGAGAAAGAAATCTACTTGTCTCCAGCAAGACCGTGGGTCTGGGCCTTGGTGGCCTTGTCTGAGAGCTGGAGCCTCCCTCCTCACAGACCCTGGCCTGGCAATCCTCGGCCTCCACACTGTCTCCATGACACCTCCATCGGGCCCCCTGCATGTTTCCCTCACGTGGTTTGCAACTGTGCATGCGCCTTGGCTGCCCCCACTCTCCAGTGAGAGCCACACTCTGCCACCCTGTGCCCCTCATGCCGTGCATACGAGGGCCTTAACACAAACCTGTTTAGAAAAATTAATACAGTGGGAATGGGGGGGGTGGGGCTCCCAAGCCTGAAGTAGGTAAAATCCAGGGAGTCGAGCCACTAAGAGCACCAAGAGGCCAGGTGCGGGCCGGGCTGGTGGAGGGACCTCATGGGTGAGGTCTCACTCCCACACAACCGCGAGGACAGCCTGAGTCGCTAAATCCCAGGAGCCAGACTGAGGGTCCACGGGACATGGAGAACATCTGTGTTTGGGATAAATGCAGCCTCTTTCAAACCCAGGCAGGAAGCCTAAGGTCTCTGAGCTGGAGAGGGTGGGAAAGGCCAACCCAGCCGAGCGTCCGTTGGTTTCACTCCCTTGCGTGGGGATGAACCCACTCGGGCTGGCAGCGGAGACGTGGCTGTGTGGGGTCCTCTTGGCTGCTGATCTGGGGGCGCACCAGGCCTTCCCCTGTAGGGCCTTCTGCTGGCTGGCCACACAAGGCACCAGGCCTTTGTGAGCAGGGCTGTGGCTTTTCGTTTGGGCTCCAGAGCAGCCAAGTGTGTCAGGGGAGAGGCACACTCCAAGGGCTGCCTTCAACCAGGACCGAAACTGAGGCCCACGTCTCTAACACCCCTGGGGGTTCCTGAGACAACCTTGGGGGCTGCTGCGGATATTCTGCTGGCCACTTCAGGGGGTGGCGCCGGGGCTTGCGGCCGAAAGGTTAGGGCTCAGCTTGGCTCCATGGCTTGCGGACCACATCACCTTGGACAAGTCGCCTGGCCTTTGGAGCCCCGTGTTCTCAGCTGAAGTGGAGAGTGGCAGGGTCACCAAGGGGGCATCTGCCAAGTGTTTCAGGCATGGTGCCTGGTACACAGTGGGCTCAATTTCAGGAGCAATGTCTATTGAGACGCCACACAGTGAGTGTGGCACCTGCAGCAGGAGCCCATGCTGACAGCTGGGTGCACAGGCCAGATAACGGCCGAAACAGCGTGAAGTCACCCAGCTTTTTAACAATAGCCTTGCACACCTCAGGTTCTCGACACTCTAGAGCAGAGCCCATGGAAAACTGAGCCTATCTTGTCCCCTGGGTATGGGGCACTCCTGCAATTTACCAACCAACATCTGACCATGCAAAGCATGGCATCAATGGCAAAGAAGCCACCAGAGCTTCCAGTGTCAGAGGCCCTGGCCTGCTCCCTACAGGGGAGCTACCTGAGTGATGGGAATCTCCATAAACTCAGGACAGACATGCTTCTGACTTAGCACTATGCCCTCGAGAACCACTATGAGGACAAGGGTCCCTGAGGCAGGGCTGTAGCTGTCTTGCTGTCCTTGCAGAGGGTAATGGGAGGTCAGGGTGGACAGGTCGGGGGAGGGCCCTGGCCCATTCCACTGCCTGGTTGGCCCTCCAAAGGTGCTGTCTCTGGCAGATTGTGGCCAGGTCCCTGGCGGGTGGGACACCTAGAGCCCACAGAGGGGCACCTTCCCTGATGAGTAGCTGAACACTGGACCAGACTCCCACATGCTGAGCTGATGTCAAACCAGGAGACTGGCAGGTGGGCTCCCATCCCCACAATGGCAGCCTCCCTCCTCTAGGCCCTGGCTGCCTTCCAGCATGCCTGGGAGGACACCAGGCATATTTTGGAGCCATCTGGTTGCACCCATTTCTATGGGATCACAGAAAGCCTGTACACCTTGCTCGGGATGGATGGGGTGGTGGAAGATGGCCTGGAAGCCTGGTACTGAGACAGAAGCTCCTGGCTCTGTGGTGCCCTCTTTCCAGGGACGGATCACTGTCCCAGAGCACCCACGCGAGTCAAGCACATGCTGCTTGCCAGCTGGCCCTGCAGGAGGTGAGTTATTTCGGTGTAGGCAGTGCGGACAGGCAGGTTGCGTCTCAGGCTTTTACTGTCATGCAGATAAAAAATGGAGACCTGCACGCTTGCCTCCGCAGGCCTGCTGGGACGCACCGAATAGTAGAAGACACTGCGAGGTCCTGCCCATCACTTATTGACTAGAACTGCCTGGCCACCTGACAGCAGGCTAATAGCCCCTGGGCTTCCGCAATGAGAAGACACATGGCTGGCACCATGCAGGGAATGGCGGGGGTAGGGCTGGAGGGGCGAAGGGAGGCCAAGAGGAAAGAAATCAGCAAGCACCACAGACACAAGACCTGGGGAGGGTGAGGAGTCAAGGCCCAGGCAGACATTCAGGTGCGTATCTGGACGGAGGCCCACTTTTCGTGGTGTGGGTCTTTGCCAATTTCAGGGTTAGGCTAATCTGTTCACTCAATGGTTGGCTGGACCTCCTTAGGATGGAAACAAGGTGCCCACAGCCACGGTGGCTGTCCCAGATGCAATATAAACATGTGCAGGTACACCCACAGACACAGAAATGTGCACACATAGGCAGGACAAGGGGGCACACACAAGCACATGGACACACAGCTTTGCATGCCAGCCCCAAGCAGGTGAGACACCAGGGATGCAGAGGGCTGTCCCTGGCTCTGGAGGAGGCTCTGCCTGAGTTTCCTAGCTGTGAGCTTGGGGACGCGGCAGCAGCCACTTGAATGTGCAGCCAACCTTAAATGGGGCTCAGAAACAGTTCAGAAGGGGCAGTGGCCCCCGAGTCAGGGCAGGGAGAGGAGTGGGTACCGAGTGGGAAAGGGCCAGGTGAGGAGGCTTGGGTGCCTTCCTGCCTGGGCCTCATGATGGCCACCAGAGGGGGGGGGGGATGCTTCATGGGGGAAACACAGGCAGGCTGGGTGCCCTGAGCTGCAGGCATTGGCCCAGGCAGGGTTTGCCCTTGGCTGAGAATGACAGCACTGGCAGTGCCTGAGAGGTACAATGCCCACAGGGATCCTGGCTTCTGGCACTGAGGGAATGGTGCCAAGGGTCCTCAGACTCCCCCTGCAGTGCCCCAAGCCCTGTCATGGCTCTTGTCATGATCCATCAATTCACAACTTAACTAGAGTTGGGGCAGGAGCCCCTGACATACCAAGGGCAAAGCTCCAGCTGGGACCCTGCAGGGGCAGTGAAGGACACTAGGGGTCCCCATCTGGAGGTGCAGGCCAGAGTTGCCAGGACCCCGCAGACCATGGGGGCGTGAAGCCTCCCACTGGTTCAAGGCATGGAGGCCCATCCCGCCTGGCCCTGTCCTCTGGCTGCATTTTGGAGAATGTCATTCGAGAAGCCAGCATGGCGTCTGGACTCCCTGGATCTCGCATGGACAAGTGGGTTCCCCAGCAGCCGAGAGTGAGGGGTGGGGCGGACATCCCCGTCCAGGCTGACCCCAGGGCTTCCGTTTGCCCACAGGTTCCCTCTGTGCCATGTCTGAAGTGGCGTAAGTTAAAGGATGGCAAGAAGCAATTCCGTCACATCCAGCTAGACTCTCAAAGGCGGCCATGTGCACGTTAGGCGGACAGCAGGACTGCACCGAACATTCAGAGAGAAAACTGTATGTTATGGAGGAAAAAGTAATTAGCAGGGAACATTTCTTTTCCTGGGGTGCAGCTGCCTCGGGAGACGCATCGCCGTGATACCTAAGACTCTGGAGGTGATGAGGGTGGGTGGGGCTGGGTTTGGGCGTGGCCTGCCTGCTGCCCATCAGCTCTGCAGTCGGAGACGACCTCATGGGACCCTCCTGAAAAGGAGTGACCCTGCCAAAGTAGCGTCACATTAGAGGCGTGGAACACACAGTGTCCCCAAGCGCTGTGATGAGGAGGAGGGGTGTCAGTGGCTGTGGCGGCGGTGAGGGATCATGGAGTTCTCAAGCGTCCCCCCCACACCGAGTCACACGGCCAGTACCTGCTGGGCTCTGCGATGTGGAGGGGGTGGAGGCCGAGCTGGCACCCCCCGAGTCGCAGTGGCTGGGGCTCCCGCTGCCGCTGGGGCTCCCGCTGGCGGACGGTGGTGACTGCGAGGACAGGGACGGGGAGCTGTGCTGGTTGATGCACTGGGCCACGGCGAAGCCTGCAAGACAAGTGGCAGGTGACCAAGCAGAGGAACAGGTGGCCTGGAGCCTCGATCAGTATCAGGGCTCCTCTTCACCCAGGCCCCGCCCCTGGGCAGTCTTGCTTTGTTCCCTGGATCGAGCTGACCTCTGTCATGGGTCTGGCACAGACACACCTGAAGCTGTTTTGAGGAAAAGGGCATGGCCAGCCACAGAGCCTTGGGCAGGCCCACAAGCCGAAGACCTGACACTGGCCCTGCCATGTACTGGCTGTGCCCTTGAAGGGGACACGCAGTCCCGGGATTCCGTGGCTCCTGGCAAGTTCACACAGGGGTGCTGGGCATCCTCACGGCAGAGTCTCAGGTCTCTGCTGAGGCGCCCACGCTTTGTCTGAGGAGGGGCACTGCCCAAGCTCTGAAGTCCCACCCAGGCAGGAGTGGTGGCACCTCAGGACTCCTCCTGTTGGCGACTTTGCTCTGCCCTTAGTGTTCTAGGGAGATCAGGTGCAGGTGCTCTGGTGGAGAGAAACTTGGAGGTGGGAATGGCATGCACGTTTCTGTGGTCTGCAGCTGATCCGTGCGGGTTGGGGAGGATAAGCCCCGAGTTTTGGAGACACTCAGACTTGGGTGCGGTCCTGTGTCCCACACAGAAGCACCAGACACGAACAGCTGTCGTGTCTGAGTCTGCTTCCCAGCTCCGACTGGGGGTATCATCACCTGCCCTCAATACTCCACCATTGCAAAAATCAAATGAGAGACACTTCATCAAGTGCAGCACGGGGTATGGCACGTGTGAGAGCTCAGCAAATGTGTTCTTTTCCAAAGTTTTATTTATTTAGAGATGGGGGATTGCTATGTTGACTGGGCTGGAATGTGGTGATGCAGTCATAGCTCACTGCAGCCTCGAACTCCTGGGCTCAAGGGATCCTCCCACCTCAGCCTCCTGAGTAGCTGGGGCAGCATCACGCCCAGCTTATTTATTCATCTATTTTAAAAATAGAGCTGAGGCCAGGCTTGGTGGCTCAGCCTGCCATTCCAGCACTTTGGGAGGGCGAGGCAAATGGATTGCCTGAGCCTGCGGGTTTGAGATCAGCCCAGGCAACTTGGCGACACCTCGTCTCTACAATAAATAAAAAATGAGCCAGGCATGGTAGCGCACATCTTTAGTTCCAGTTACTTGGAAGGCTGAGGCGGAAGGATCGCCAGAGCCCAGCAGGTTGATGCTGGGGTGGCCGTGAGCGTGCCACTGACCTCCCCAGTCTGGGCGGCGGAGTGAGACTCTGACTCAAAAAAAAAATAGAGCTGAGGTCTCACTATGTTGCCCATGCTGGCCTTGAACTCCTAGGCTCAAGCAATCACACTGCCTTGGTCTCCCAAAGTGCTGGGGTCACAGGTGTGAGGAACTACTGGCCACTTCACCCGGCCAGCACACATGTTCTGGCCTCCTTCCCTTCATCTACAGATGGGACCTGCTGCCATTTCCCCCTAGGGCTTAGTGGGACCCCATTCTTGGCCATCGAGGAGGGCTCTGTGCACTCATGACCCTATTGATGCCCATAGTTGGGTTTTGGGGTGAGGTCACTGGCGTCAGTTGCAGGAGCAGTGTGTGTCTCTGGCTGTGGGGGGCCGTCTTGGGCCCAAGCTCCCCTTTATTAGAGAACGTTTCCTGCCCTCACCTACTGCAGAGTCTGCCTGCAGGGAGAACAGCACAACTCACATGCCCAAGGTTCCCAGGAGGCGGCATGAGGGGAGGGGCATGCTGATGAACTACAGCTAACATCCAGCTAACACCTGGCAAATCCAAGCGCTGGTCAGGAAGATTCCTTGGGGACAATTAGCCACAGCCCCACAGATCCAGTTTTATTGCTGCTCACTTCTTAATCACTTAAAGTGGTAAACCCCCAAGTTTACAAGCTGTTTATTTGCCTTGAAAATGAATTACTCCCCAACAAATCCAAAGGTTGAGACGGCTTTTCCTGAGCTGCCTGTTTATCAGGGCCACGAACGGGGCCTACGAGGCAGGATGGAGGCTTGTATGCTCCGGACCACAGCCCAGCCCCAAGGACGAACCACATGGCTGTCGCCAAGGCAGCCACACAGCCCTTCTCCGAAGACACGCATTTCCTCCCTTCAGAACTCTGTCCACTCCACTACCCCACACCTGGCTTATGATTGAAAGCCGCTGCTGTGGGGCAGAGGAGACGCTGATACTGCATTTAGGACCTGAAAGTTCTGCCATTTGAGGAAAGGGGTGGGGTCAAGCCACAGAGTGGCAGTAACAGCGGCAAGCACTGAGTGTTGAATGGAAAAGAAAAACCGTCACCTGCGATCCCACTGTTTGCAGGGCTTAGGTGAGCACAGGCAGCTGAACCCTCACCTGCTGCCACTAAAATCCCACCTTCCTCCTTCCCACACTCTCCCCTCTCAGTGGCACTGGGACCCAGAAAGGCACAGTGATTTTTTTTTTTGCTGGGTGCCCAGGTGCCCTTGCAATTTCCAGGGGCTTTTCCCCAAATGGAGGTGGCAACTGCTTTGTGATATCAGAGGGCCAGAAGGGCACTGGAGAGAATGAGGCAGAGCGTGGTCCTGCGCCCCGTCCCCTGGTGCCCACTTACCCCAGCACAGACATGCCAGAGGCTTTCGGTGCAGGAGTCAGATGCGCCTGGGGTGCCAAGCACTCACAAACACACAGACGAGCCAGGGAAGCAGCTTGGGCTCCTTTCACAGTCAACACTCGGCTCTCCTGGGATGCAAGGACAGCCTGGGACACGTGGAGCAAAGGCCTGGGAACCTGCGTACCTCTGGCCGGCTCTGGATCTAGGAGCTGACGCCGCAGAAGCCACGGCGGGGGGCTCCACATGTGGAACTCCCAAGTCACTGAGAGCGCTGGTGTGCAGGGCAGGGAGCAGGCGAGCACTGGCCGTCCCAGAGCCAGGAGGGGCCACTCAGACGCTAACACACCAGGGTGGTTAGATCCCCGTGCTGACCAAGATGCTGGTGGGTTGAACATCACGATGTCGCAAGTGGAAGGAGGCTATAAAAGGCATTTCCCGTGTGCCCCCATGTTGTGAACAACTCAAGCTCTCCCGTCCACCTGTTCAAAGCGCAGAAACAGACTAGAGGGACTGAAGCTGTCGCAGTAAGAGAACCAGGTCTTCTTACTTGTGGTGAGTTTTATTCTTATTTTTTTGTGTTTGTCTTAATTTTCCAAGACTCCTATGAATGTTACTTCATTTTAATTTTTTTTTTACAGACAAAGTCTTGGTCTTACTCTGTTGCCCAGGCTGGAGTGCGGGGGTATGATCATAGCTCACTGCGGCTTCAAACTCCTGGGCTCAAGGGATCCTCCCACCTCAGCCTTCCCAGTTGTTGGGACTATAGGCGTATGCCACAGCGCCTGGCTTTTTAAAATTTTTTTGAGAGATGAGGTCTAGCTATGTTGCCCAGGTTGGTCTTGAACTCCTGGCCTCAAGGGATCCTCCTGCTTCAGCCTCCCAAAGTGCTGGGATTACAGGCGTGAGCCACTGTGCCTGTCCAAATGTTATTTTAAACTAGAAGAAAAGGAAGGATGGAGGAAGGAACAGCAGCTGCCTGGGAGCTGGACAGGCCCAAGCTCCTGGTCCCTAACAGGTCCTGGAATCTGCTCTGTCCTCCAAGGCTCTCTCCCGGAAATCACCCAGAACCTCCCTCAGCGCTTTCCAGGGTTGGGCCCAGGCGAGCTGCACCAGAGCCAGGGGCACCTAAGTCAACGACCAGATATACCCACACTTTCCAGGACCCCAGGGTTTTGCGGGGGCAGCTCAGGGTCTTGCTGCCCTCTGGCCCTGTCCTACCAGTTAATTTGGGAAGATGAACTAATGAACAACTCTCTGGCATTTATCAAGCACAAAAACACCACAAAAAGGCCAATCTCGTGTGTTAGGCTGCCTGACAGAGGCAGCAGTGAGCTTGGTGTCAGACCCCAGGGCGCACCCCCCCCCCCCC